AGTATATCTGCTGAGGGTGGCGAATGAGGAAAGAGACTATTGTTGAGTCTGAGGAGCTCATTGATAATGGAGTTGAAGGTTCCTGGAGCTGCCATATTCTGCAAGTGCGCATATATCATGCAGCAGTAGATCTTTGTTGGAGCACCGTCACGTAGTGGCTGAAGAAGTATGTTCTCGCTGAAAGACAAGGGTAACGTGGCCGTGAGAATTTTGGTGGTATCAGCTTGTGGTTTTGTGATGGCGGCGCACGTTGGTGACCTTGTACATGGTTTCTTTTGTTCTTCGTCTAGGTTTTCCTTGAGGATTTCTTTCAAAGGGCAGTTGGCAGCAAGAGTGTGGTGGTCGCTCTTACAGTTCAGGTATGTAGGCGGAGCGGTGGTGAAGCAATAAACTTTATAGGAAACAAATAATCCATATGTATGTTCTTGACATTTTATCGTTTTATTTGTCAAGTTTAAGATTATGAAAATTGTTTCCTCAAGAAAGGTGAAAAATGCTTTTCTTTAACGAAAAAAATATGTAAAAAAAAGTCAGATCACAGTCAACCAGTGTGAGGAATATTACTACGTGAGTCAGATCACAGTCAACCAGTGTGAGGATTATTACAACGTGAGTCAGATCACAGTCAACCAGTGTGAGGAATATTACTACGTGAGTCAGATCACAGTCAACCAGTGTGAGGATTATTACAACGTGAGTCAGATCACAGTCAACCAGTGTGAGGAATATTGCAACGTGAGTCAGATCACAGCCAACCAGTGTGAGGAATATTACTACATGAGTCAGATCACAGTCAACCAGTGTGAGGAATATTGCAACGTGAGTCAGATCACAGTCAACCAGTGTTACAAAACTCGTCTTCTTAACCTTCTCCAATGGTATGGTAAAGTGTTAAGGTAGCATTCTTACTGAACATATGGCCTGTTTACGGTTTTGCAACAATAACTTTTAGTAAGAATTCAGGATTACGAAACAAATAACTAAAACTTAGAATCTTTACTAGTAGAGTTTTAGCTTAATTTATGATATGTTATGATTAACATAAAATAAGGAGTTTAACTCTTACATTTCTCTTGGTACGTACAGTACATTGATATGAATAAATGAACCTCTTGAGGTTGAGCTTTGTACTAAAATCACAAATAAAATGCACCTATAAGGGTTATTAAGACCTAGCCACAAAATAACTTATAATGGTTATAAAGACTTATCTGAACTATCAATTCAGAGTATACAAGAACTCGTAAGTGACGGACTTAGTCTCATTTCCATCCAACATGACTAAGAATAGCTTAGACCACAAATTAACATCAAGGCCGACAAGGCTTATTCAGTCACCAGAAAGATTAATTTACCCGAGCATAAATAACTCGAAAGCGACAAGCTTAAGAAAGGAACTCAATCATGAAAGAAAAACGACCACAAGAGAGAACTTGACATGTCTTATGAGAGGTCAATGAGTGAGGTATGCTCCCTTGGCTATGCAAGCCCAGACTAGAAGTGGAAATGCTAGTCAGAGTGAGTGTGAAGGACATACTCTCAGTGAGTGCTGTAAAACTACTCAGAGCAAGGGTTGTGAATCTTCTCTGAGCAGGTGCTGTGAACCTACTCAGTAAGAGTAGTGAACCTGCTCTGAGTGAGGGCGGAGAACCTACTCAGAAAGAGTAGTGAACCTTCTCTGAGCGAGGGCGGTGAACCTACTCAGTAAGAGTAGTGAACCTACTCAGAGCAAGGGCTGAGAACTACTCAGTAAGAGTAGTGAACCTGGTCTGAGCAAGGGCGGTGAACCTACTCAGTAAGAGTAGTGAACCTCTCTGAGCGAGGGCGGTGAACCTACTGTGAGCGAGGGCTGTGAATCTACTGACGGTACCACTGAGTGGTAAGCCAACGTCAGGTTGGTCACGTGACTGAGGGAGACCTCAGTACCTGAACTGCTAACCGGCACTTAAACCTAGTGGTTTCCCACTACATGGAAATATTAAGGACTGCTAACAAAACATAATATAATACAATATTAACATTAGCATATACATAATAAAATAAAGGAGCATATTCTATTATAAAATAAAACGGGTATGGCCATACTCGTAACAACCATTGTGAGGAATATTACTACGTGAGTCAGATCACAGTCAACCAGTGTGAGGAATATTACTACGTGAGTCAGATCACAGTCAACCAGTGTGAGGAATATTACTACGTGAGTCAGATCACAGTCAACCAGTGTGAGGAATATTACTACGTGAGTCAGATCACAGTCAACCATTGTGAGGAATATTACTACGTGAGTCAGATCACAGTCAACCAGTGTGAGGAATATTACTACGTGAGTCAGATCACAGTCAACCAGTGTGAGGAATATTACTACGTGAGTCAGATCACAGTCAACCAGTGTGAGGAATATTACTACGTGAGTCAGATCACAGTCAACCAGTGTGAGGAATATTACTACGTGAGTCAGATCACAGTCAACCAGTGTGAGGAATATTACTACGTGAGTCAGATCACAGTCAACCAGTGTAAGGAATATTACTACGTGAGTCAGATCACAGTCAACCAGTGTGAGGAATATTACTACGTGAGTCAGATCACAGTCAACCATTGTGAGGAATATTACTACGTGAGTCAGATCACAGTCAACCAGTGTGAGGAATATTACTACGTGAGTCAGATCACAGTCAACCAGTGTGAGGAATATTACTACGTGAGTCAGATCACAGTCAACCAGTGTGAGGAATATTACTACGTGAGTCAGATCACAGTCAACCAGTGTGAGGAATATTACTACGTGAGTCAGATCACAGTCAACCAGTGTGAGGAATATTACTACGTGAGTCAGATCACAGTCAACCAGTGTGAGGAATATTACTACGTGAGTCAGATCACAGTCAACCAGTGTGAGGAATATTACTACGTGAGTCAGATCACAGTCAACCAGTGTGAGGAATATTACTACGTGAGTCAGATCACAGTCAACCAGTGTGAGGAATATTACTACGTGAGTCAGATCACAGTCAACCAGTGTGAGGAATATTACTACGTGAGTCAGATCACAGTCAACCAGTGTGAGGAATATTACTACGTGAGTCAGATCACAGTCAATCAGTGTGAGGAATATTACTACGTGAGTCAGATCACAGTCAACCAGTGTGAGGAATATTACTACGTGAGTCAGATCAGTCAACCAGTGTGAGGAATATTACTACGTGAGTCAGATCACAGTCAATCAGTGTGAGGAATATTACTACGTGAGTCAGATCACAGTCAACCAGTGTGAGGAATATTACTACGTGAGTCAGATCACAGTCAACCAGTGTGAGGAATATTACTACGTGAGTCAGATCACAGTCAACCAGTGTGAGGAATATTACTACGTGAGTCAGATCAGTCAACCAGTGTGAGGAATATTACTACGTGAGTCAGATCACAGTCAATCAGTGTGAGGAATATTACTACGTGAGTCAGATCACAGTCAACCAGTGTGAGGAATATTACTACGTGAGTCAGATCAGTCAACCAGTGTGAGGAATATTACTACGTGAGTCAGATCACAGTCAACCAGTGTGAGGAATATTACTACGTGAGTCAGATCACAGTCAATCAGTGTGAGGAATATTACTACGTGAGTCAGATCACAGTCAACCAGTGTGAGGAATATTACTACGTGAGTCAGATCACAGTCAACCAGTGTGAGGAATATTACTACGTGAGTCAGATCACAGTCAACCAGTGTGAGGAATATTACTACGTGAGTCAGATCACAGTCAACCATTGTGAGGAATATTACTACGTGAGTCAGATCACAGTCAACCAGTGTGAGGAATATTACTACGTGAGTCAGATCAGTCAACCAGTGTGAGGAATATACTACGTGAGTCAGATCACAGTCAATCAGTGTGAGGAATATTACTACGTGAGTCAGATCACAGTCAACCATTGTGAGGAATATTACTACGTGAGTCAGATCACAGTCAACCAGTGTGAGGAATATTACTACGTGAGTCAGATCAGTCAACCAGTGTGAGGAATATTACTACGTGAGTCAGATCAGTCAACCAGTGTGAGGAATATTACTACGTGAGTCAGATCACAGTCAACCAGTGTGAGGAATATTACTACGTGAGTCAGATCACAGTCAACCAGTGTGAGGAATATTACTACGTGAGTCAGATCACAGTCAACCAGTGTGAGGAATATTACTACGTGAGTCAGATCACAGTCAATCAGTGTGAGGAATATTACTACGTGAGTCAGATCACAGTCAACCAGTGTGAGGAATATTACTACGTGAGTCAGATCACAGTCAACCAGTGTGAGGAATATTACTACGTGAGTCAGATCACAGTCAATCAGTGTGAGGAATATTACTACGTGAGTCAGATCAGTCAACCAGTGTGAGGAATATTACTACGTGAGTCAGATCACAGTCAACCAGTGTGAGGAATATTACTACGTGAGTCAGATCACAGTCAACCAGTGTGAGGAATATTACTACGTGAGTCAGATCACAGTCAACCAGTGTGAGGAATATTACTACGTGAGTCAGATCACAGTCAACCAGTGTGAGGAATATTACTACGTGAGTCAGATCAGTCAACCAGTGTGAGTCACGTCATACTCTCTAATACTCAAAACAAATTTTCGAGAGAATTTACTGTGTTTTTTCCTAAAAACAAAATAAAATCAGTTTTGTTTGATAAAGAATTTGACAAATATAAATCTAATAAATTATTTTTTACTACATTTAGTGATAGTCAATGAAAAATAATTTCTAAAACATTAGAAAATAGTGTTTAAAATGCAATGATAACCATTATTGCAACCTATAAATTGCTGATGTTGATGTGCATTGTTAAATTTCAGGGAATTATATATAAATCTCTAGAAATATTCTTATATAAATATTTGTAGAACTTTAGACAATAAAACTGTCTCTATGTCTCAGCATTTTCACTTTGGTTGTGAGGTCTATAGAGTTAATATAAATATTATAATTACAGCAAGTGAATACTTTCAACCGCGCCTGTTATGATGACCTAATATGTGTTGCTGACCTGAGGTCACCTTACCCTTTACCAGAGGACATCAAGATTAACAAGGCTGACATCACTCTCTATCTTGCATTTAGTATCAACTTTGTAGATAATAAGAACTACTACTCCATCAAATATTATGATATTAATTCAGGCAAGTTAGTGTTTTCTAGTGTATTTTAATATAGAATATTAAGATTTATTGACATGCCAGATTTGGAAAAAAAAATATATTCATATTATATATGCAAAGTAAACGTATTTGCTCACTATAAAAAATAAATGAGAATTGTGGAGAAATTTTCTCCAGAAGGGGGGGTAATCAGCCCCCTTCTGCCCCTTTCAGCCTCTTTCAGCCCTGAGGGGCCCAGCCCTCTCAGAATTGGCAAATATCCTGTTTACTGCTACAGCAAGTAATTGATCCCAAATGCAATACGAGTATGTGACGTGGTCAAGCGACCGCCGCTCCTTGCAAGAGTCCAGTGTTGCAAAGTGTAGTTGTAAGAGACAGTCCATCTCTTACCTTAGCAGGACAATTAAGGAAAATCTTGCTCCCACTTTATTACCATGGTAAAGATAGTGTACACTGTGTCTATGCTTAAGACAGCAAGAATTAAGCATTCTGCTTTGCTTCATGGAGGAAGTTTGGCAAGGAAGCAAAAAGTACTAGGTCAGCTTTTCCTTTATGTTCTAGGGGCATTGTAGCGGCGTAGGATGCTGTGAGGTCAGATTACTTTTCACCCTACTGGGAGTCACACTGACGCCAGGATAACCAACAAAGAACACTGATCCGTGCGTTAGTGTGAACAAAGTGTCTCACAGAACACGAAAAACACTTACAGAGAAGTGTGATCAGCTTCTTTAGTGATAAGATTGTGAACAATAAAGACAAACTTTGTGGAACATGGTGTACCAGTGTGCGTATTCCTAGACTATGGAAGACGTGGACATCCAAGGACACTTCAGCTTCTATCAAGTCACCGATACCTGTCGAAGGTGTGAAGAACACCATAGCTCACGCTACAAGAGCAAGGTAGGTTATGAATTACCTTGTAATTGGACTGCGCAGTTCTTGTGTTGCAGGGAGTTTGTAATCAACCTATAGTTGGCAGTGAGGTGCGGACTTTTGAGTCCACACAAGCAAGTGGCATCAGCAATCAGTGACTGATATATGCTGACATAACACCCCCTAAGGGTAATTTATAATCACACCTAATATACTCTATTACAGCCCGTTGGGAAGTGGTCAAGACAGCTTCTCAAGACCTCGCCTGCAGGGGCGGCTGTGTGGGTGACAGCGGTCTTATCAGATAAATTCCCCCTATATTTAAACTTTACCCTTAGCTGGTAAACCATTTCTCAACAAGAATAACATAGGTACCAGAAACAATGTTTTTTTAAACGTTCTTCAAGGAAATCTCACAACTACTCAGATAACATTACACAAATATTCATGTAACATCACACAGCTACTCAAGTAACATCACACAAGTACTCTGGTAACATCACACAAGTACTCAGGTAACATCAGACACATACTCAGGTAACATCACACAAGTACTCAGGTAACATCACACAAGTATTCAGGTAACATCACACAATTACTCAGGTAACATCACTCCCAGACATAATGTTTTACAGGACTCAACAAGACTCGCACAGCTACTGTGGGTACCTGCGTCCCACCACACCAAAAAGTCCACCATTGTACAACTGATCAGCTGGTCCCACCCTATATTCTCCAGAAACATTATGTATGTCGTACCGAAAAGGTAAAACTTGTGATTTTGGCTTAAATAGCAACGCTCTTTTTGCCAAATAAGACAAGCGAAAATTTGTGCATGCAATAATTTCGCAAAACTCATTCTGAACCCAATGAAAAAATATATTTCATTGTGTTAGTTTATTATTAAATTATTGTAAACTTATCTAAAATATATTTAGTTGGATTAGGGTAAATTAAATTGCGCTTTTTATAATAAGGTTAGGTAAGTTTTCTAAGGTTCTTTTGGTACAAAATTATTAATTTTTACATAAACATAAATAAAAAAATATCTTTAAATGAATAAAAGAAAATTTTAGAGAGGACTTAATTTTAAGTGAGTTCTTGCTAATTGACCAGTTTTACCTATTTGGCACGACATATATATATATTATATATATATATATATATATATATATATATATATATATATATATATATATATATATATATATATATATATATGCAATAAGATCACAGTAAACAGGTGATTTCAGAATATGCAAAACAACCACTCTGAAAGAATAGAGAAATTCCAAGCGCTTACATGACTACTCACATTATCAAGGAACAATGAAAGCAGAGCATCAAAGGAAGGTATATAAAGGGTCTAGCCCCCACCTCACTATCAGATCCCACAACAAAGGAACACCTGACACGCGACTCATAAGAAAGGGAACACTGCAGCAGGCCCGCCGGCCCAACTAGACAGGTCCTTCACACAACCCACCAATAAACTATTCTACCCATTACTATTGTCCAATGTATTATTAAATTCTTCCCAAATTCTATTAATTATAAATGGATATAATTTATATAAACCAAAGGAAATATTCACATTGTCAAAACTGCTTTTTCTGAAACAAGATTCAATTATATTCCTGTCGACCATGGACTTGCTTGATACAACTTTCTCAACTTTTTGAAAATCAATTGGATGGTTAAAATCCCTCACATGAATAAATAGAGTATTGAAATCTTGTCCAGTTCTAATGCTATATTTATGTTGTTTTAAGCTTAGTTCGAGATTTTTACCAGTTTGATCATAATAAACTTTATCGCAAATTTTACAAGGAATCTTATAGACACATCCATCAGCATTTTGGGGGGAATTCTTTTTCAAAAGTTTTTTTACTGCATCAAGATTTTTGAATACAACTTTAATATTAAACATCTTAAGAAGAGAAGGCATATCAACCAAGTTTTCATGGTAAGGGAGAACTAACATATTTTTAGTTGAATAAGGCTGGTTGTCCCTTTTTGGATTGTAAAAAGTATTTCTAGCAACTTTAAAAGATTTATCAATTACGTTTCTTGGGTATTTCAGATCATTACCTATTTCATAAATTTTAGATATTTCCTCATCTATGAACTCTGGACTACAAACTCATAAAGCTCTCAAAAACATTGATTAGAAAACAGACAGTTTAACTCTATCTTGATGTGAAGAATAATACTGGACATAAGAACAGTTATTTGTAGGTTTTCTGTAAATTTTAAATTTGAATTCATTATTACCCTTAATAATTAAAACATCTAGAAAAGGCAATGAGTTATTTTCTTCAAACTCAACAGCAAAGTTTATAGAATGGGCTAAGCTATTTAATTTGCCAAGGAAAAGGTGTATATCTACATTTTTGGGCATAAGACACAAAATATCATCAACATATCTGAACCATTTAGCTCCATTAAGGAGGACTGTGTTAAGCAGCCTTGTTTCAAAAAATTCCATGTATAGATTACTAAGAACAGGTGAAAGAGGATTTCCCATTGCCATACCAAACTTCTGAGTATAAAACTTATCATTAAATACAAATTTTGCATCAACAATGCAAAGTTTAATAAGTTTGATGATAGTAGGAACTGGCAATGGTAAATCATAATTAACGAGTTCTTCAGATAAGAAACTTAATAAATCATCAACAGGAACTTTCGTAAACATGGAAGTAACATCAAAACTAACCACGTTAAAATCATTTAAGTCAGTCAATGAGCTTAATTTATCAACTAAATCTCTGTTTTTTAACATTAAAGTTAGAAATTTTGCCAAAAATAGGGCTCAAAATATCAACAAGTAGTCACGAAAGCGCTTGGAATTTCTCCATTCTTTCACAGTGGTTGTTTTGCACACACACATACACACACACATTATAATATATATATATATATATATATATATATATATATATATATATATATATATATATATATATATATATAATATATATATATATATATAATAAATGAAATCATGAAACAAGTGATTTTGAATCATTTACCCAACTGTGGCAGGCCAGGGCTAGACCCCACGACACATTGTCCACCTCAAGAGACAACACAACGTAATTGTTATCTTACCACTGAGCCAGCGATCCTACAAAGATGACGCATCCAGCATGTTTTTCTCGTAATCCTAGGACTCTTGTGAAATTAATCCTTGAGATACCACTTCCACGAGTGTCCTTGTTCACGAGAAAAACATGTAGCTCTGCTGGATGCGTGATCTTCGTAGGATCGCTGGCTCAGTGGTAAGGTAACATGTACGTTGCGTTGTCTTTCGAGGCGGGACAATGTGTCGTGGGCTCGAGCCCTAGCGACTAGCCAAGGATTCGAACCCATGCTCCTTTGGCCCTCCTCATGTTGAGCGAAAACCCATGATGCTCTAACCCACAGAGCCACGCAGTCCTGTGAAAACCAAGCAACCAGCCAAGCTAGGTGTGTTACCCTTGGTCTGAGGACATACAGTGGTGTGGGTGCCTCTGAGCTAATTTCAGTCTCCTCCCAGTTTGGTGTACTAACCTCAACGAGCTGTATTTTATATTACTGTGACCACGAACAAGTGGTATTGATCATTAACAACACTGCTCACCATCAGGCGGGCAAAAACATCGGTTCGAATCCTTGACTAATCACAGTGTTGTTATTGATCAATACCACTGTGAGGGAAAAGTTCAACAGATAGGAGTAGCGAGCGAGTACATGGGTGACGATAGTTTGATTGCCCGGCTGCTTGTTAAGGTAGGGTCAGTCTAGCTCCCACTATCCTCCCTTTTTTCTCCACCTGGAAAGGTCACGTGTGGGGCTCGGACCAAACAGTAATCACTTGACTCACAGCTCCCAGCACAACTGTAAGTAAAAGCCTCTGCTCCTGTTATAGTGGATATGTTGGTTGAAAGCTTCACTTTTGACCAATACTAAACTTAGTCCTTTCAGCCTTGATTTCCATGTTATGCTTTTAAATAATCACCATTTCCTTTAAATACTGTACTTATCATGGAGAGTGACTTCTTAAGCAGTAGGTAACCTTTGTCTCTTTCTAGCTTGGAATGTCAGCTCAGGTCATCTGGCAACTAAAAGAAACAGTGTTGAAGGAGACGAACTTTACCTAAGTTCTGAGACATCACCATTTTATCTGCATACCTCAGTGTAGTCAACCCCAGGCAACTACCTCTCATCTTTGCAGTGGTGAAAGACCTGCGTTCCTATCATCTTGACAGACTATTCAAGGCTAGAGACTGTGAAGAACTAGTCGTTGGGTTGTCACTCAACATCTGTGATCCCCCCATCATCAGCAACGGCTACAATTTCTACAACACGCGGTGTCAACAACATCAGACACACCAGTCTAACTGCATATATTAGCGTTGAATTCAGATATTATTTTTATATTTCATTTTTCATTTCCCTTTCAAGTAGGACATAAATTCATGTTATTTTTTTTATATTTTCATTTATAAATAATAAAATATTTATATTTCACTGTTATTATTCTTTTTCTATTCATTAATTTTCCTGAGGAGGAGCCAGCCTTGGTAATACTGACTGAAGTTGTCACAGGGCTGAGTAAGCCTTCACAAGTGGCGACCTTGCCAGGATCATTCGACTGAATCAAGATTCAACTCCATCTCGAATCTACCATTGGAACTTCAACGCCGCCCACCACAGACGGTTACCACCAGCCATGAGTAATCATTCTCTATGGTAGGACTACAGTACAGGTATTTAAAAGATATTGTGATTGTTATAGTCTCAATTTATTGTAAGTCAAGTCAAGGCAGGATATACTAGTTAATTCTGTCACCTTTATTCTTGAGCTTGAAACGATTTGGAGGAATAGACTCTAGGGACCCGAGATTTTCCAGTGACAAGTTGTTTCATTGAGCTCTGTTTATTATTTCGAGAGAACTGTTGTAGGACACTCTTGATTTCTTGGTGAGAAGATTGGATGGTCAACGGACCCCATTTTACTTGCTGTTTGGTTGGAGCTGGCGTAGAGCCCTCCGTTTTCTTTCACGCATATTGTTTAACTGAAGCACGGATCGAACCCTCCGATTTATTGACAGTTTGAGAGGAGCAGGAATTGAACCCCCGTTTTCTTTGATATACCGTTTCATTTTCCCATGGTAGTTTAAGTTATTCTTGCAAGCATGGAGGAATACTAGTTTTGGATGAACGCTGGGAGTAAGTTAGGAATAATGGGGAAAAATTTAGAAGCTTTCATTAGCGCTAAGATCCAGAAAAGAATTGAAAGAAAGAGAATGAGAGAGAAGGA